TCTTTATACACAAGTAACTCATATAACAGTCACCATCAAAGAGTACTCTTTATACACAAGTAACTCATATAACAGTGACCATCAAAGAACACTCTTTATCGGGGTTTTCCATGATTTTGTTAGTAGTAGGCTGTGTAGTGAAAGTAGGAGGCTGGCCTGCCGTGAACGGAACATTATTATGGAACTGGATTGGTGTAGGCCGCCAAATAATCAAAGTAGTCAGTCAAATTGGCCGGCGGCCGGCTCTTATGGAAAACCCTGATTTATACAGGAGTAACTCAATGTATCTTGATTTCTATGTTATTTAATTAAGAACTTGTAAAAGATGGAGACGGCAGGACATAATAGTTCTGTGAAGAGCCTAGGCCTACATGGTATGCAACCTCGGTAAAATTCCTGGTGTATGGTTCTATTTCAGTGCTCCAGATACAGAGAGGTCCTTGCTGTTATGTTCTTTCGCAAAACACTTTACCTCAATTGCTCTGAATGGCATGCAATGGGCCTCCTGTATGTTGTTCAGTGAGGCAGCCATTAGCTTTTTAAAGGAGACCCTACTTCAAAGTGATTCAAAGTGATAATTCAGTGTAGTACATCAGGCTGTTTCTTTTTGGGCTCTCAGGTGTCCCTTACACAGAAAACATTGGAGAAACCCCCCTCCCCCCCTCAACCCAACCCCCATACCAACCCCTCCAGCAAACCACCTGGAGAGGGTACTTCAGCAAAGGAATAAGAGAAATTAAATTGTCAAATAACTAACCATATATACACAACTGCTGGACCATTGATATTTGTACAACACATTTCATATTTGTATGGTTTAGTGGCTATGGACCAAAACCGACCATGCTTTATGCATGAACTTAGGCAAGTGTGTTCCACAATTTAGTCATCAAATTTATGCATACTTCCCTGGGGGATTCCTACTAGGACACATAATATGTCAAAGCTCATGGATATATTTTTGTAGAGGTTGGGTGTTGTGTTATTGCTACATATACTATGTCATACAGGATGTGACCTCTCCAGTTTGAATATCATCACAATGGAAAGCTTTGGCAGAAAATTGAAGTCATCGATGTACTACTTCAATGTGATATATTTTAGACTTCAAAGTCATTAAGCGTTCATTGAGAATATATAACATTACATTGCATATTATGTAGCAAGCAAATTATCTGCTGATATAGTAAGGCAGAATGACTTGTCTCCAAATACATCGTTATGTCTCTGAAATATTGTTAAGTCAGGATACTGGAATAACATATCTTTTTGTTTCAATTTTGATATAGTTACCATGGAAATTGTATTACAAAAATACAGCAGGATTAGATAGGATGTCAGGATACTCTGGAAGTCAGATAACACTGTTTCTATACACATTAAGTATATAAATTTTCTACTAAAGTATATTCAAATTATGCCTCACTGACTGAGATCAAACTGGATACATGGGAATTTATAAATACAGGCCATGTATTTATCATCCTTTCAGTACTGCTGTGTGTGATGTGTTAATGCTAGAGGGTGACTAGGGGTGTGAGTCAGTATATAATCCTCACATTGTACACAATGTAAATGGTGTACATATAGAAAAAGTGTGATCGTATCTGGTTATAGCAGACAAGTATATAAACATATCTACAGCACATCTCTAGACCCCAATATACAGTGTGGTCAAGCTATCTATAATATACAGACCCCAATATACAGTGTGGCCCAGCTCCCTGTAATATACAGTGTGGTCCAGCTCCCTATAATATACAGTGTGGTCCAGCTCCCTATAATATACAGTGTGGTCCAGCTCCCTATAATACACAGTGTGGTCCAGCTCCCTATAATATACAGGCCCCAATATACAGTGTGTCCAGCTCCCTTAAATATACAGACCCCAATATACAGTGTGGTCCAGCTCCCTTTAATATACAGTGTGGTCCAGCTCCCTATAATATACAGTGTGGTCCAGCTCCCTATAATATACAGGCCCCAATATACTGTGTGGTCCAGCTCCTTATAAGGTACTGGCCCCAATATTAATATAAAGAGTGATACAGCCCATTTGATATTTTCTGGCCCTGATATACAGACATGTTTGTTGTTAGTGTAATCACTCTTCTTAGTAAAGAGGGAGAGGGATTGTGGAATCAGTTTGTGTTTCCATGTGCGCTGCATGCCACCAGCCTTCTGCATACGTATGCAAGATTGTGGTAAAGATCTCACAAGACTTCAGTCATTTTCATACTACATCATATATCATGAAGTGCTACATTTGATTACAATTTGGTGGTCATTGGTAAAGGTTAAATGTCAAAGGTCACCATTGATCACATTGCAATAAAAAGATTGTGTACAAGATTGAACTTCATACAGATTTATTGTAAGTTCACACCATAGCATCACACCATCAATATCTACACCAAATTAGATTTAGGTGGTCATCGGTCAAGCTTAAAGGTCAAATGTCACCCTTGACTGCTTGTGTACAAGATCTTGTGAACCTCTCAACAGATTTTAACTTTCATATTCACACCATAAAATGATAATATTATAATACTATCAGCATATAGCTAGATATATTATAACATTTATTACTATGATTCATTAAGAGTGGCTATCAAGCTAGCTGAAGGCTGTAAGAAAGATTCATTGTCCACTATGTACATGGAGTATTTAAGTCAAGTTTATGCTACTGCAAATATATTAGCACAGTGTAGGTATAAGCTAATTTAAGTGTGATAGAAAAATACATAAACGACTTCCTTTCATTGTAATTAGATCCCTACTCAGGAAGTTTGTGTTTCTGAATAAACTGAAATCAAAATCTGTTGTCCTATTGTGGTTGTATCCTTGGAAGGGATGTCATGTTTCACGACTTAACTTGGAGATATCTTAGTTTTTTTTTATAATTTCCTTGCAAAATACTTTCTTATTGTATGAACTTAGGGATGAAGCCCTATACAAAATATGCTATAATGAATTACTTTGTCCCTTATTCAAGGTTACAGGGGTCAATTTTTTTTATCCCCACCCAATAAAGTTGGCACGATATTCAAATGGATTCCATCCGTCCATCCTTCTGTCATTCTGTCCATCCTTTCGTTCAGCTGCTGCTTTCCCCATAATATCTTTTGAAGGACTGGTTGGATTTTAATGAAACTTGGTTTGTACATTTGTTACCTTAATCCCTTGTCTATGTTTGATTAACGTCGAATTCTGCTCATGTTGAAAGAGGCTGCTTTCGGCACATTATCTTATAAAGGAATGATTTTTAGGAAACTTGCTTTGTAGACTTATTACCGTAATTCCTTATTCCGGTTTGATTATCGGCAGATTCTATGCATATTTTATGAGACTTAGTACCACAGTCCTAAGTTTGATTATTGGCTAATTCAGCAAATAGCTAATGAGGCAGCTGTGACCTGAATAGTTGATTGCTTTGCTCAGGATATCTTCTGAAGATGGGATTTGATATATAGTTTTATTATGTATGGAGACCAATTAGATAAGGCCGCTCTTACCTTATTGTATGATTGCTTTCTGCAGAATATCTTATAAAGATATGGTTACTTTCATTTTACAGCATTCAAAACAAAATGACCACAGTAAGGAGATTACTCTTTTAAAATGTATACATTGACCGATTATGATAAAAATTGACATATTAGTACCTCACGACATTCCAAACATCATTGAAACGTTTTCATGTAACTTGGTATATAATTACTTCCATCGATGACTGATGGGAATATGACTGCTTGGAATACGACTGCAGGAGTGTTCAGGGGACACATCACTGAAATTACGTGACAAATATTCTAGCGTTACCATGGGGTAAAAAGAAGGGAATATAAAGGTATGATAAGCTGATTTTACTATTCACAGTATTATACTACTAAATTGTAATTATACTGATCACTTTCAATGGGACTTTATACTGAACTTAAACAATAAATGGTTTCAATACTTTGGTTTTCCTTGTTGCTCACTTCAAATGTATAAATTTTACAAATAAACATGGGCGTTGGATCTTGATGACTATGTCCTTGTTTTAAACTTTTAAACAATTTCTTCTGACTGACTGACTAATCAAAAGGTGCAGTAGCATTGTATTTGGCTGACAGGTTTTATAGAATAAAGCCTGAAAAAAAAAGTTTGGAGGAAAAAACAGGAACTTTATTCAAGGGCACAGGGGTTGACTTATTAAAACCCTAAAACATCTTCTTCTGACAAAGCAAAAGTCACAGAAGCATGGTATTTGATTTGTACGTTCTTATGATGAATATTGACAAAACTTTAAAAAAAAAAAAAAAAAAAAAAGGAAAAAAAATGACCTTAACCCATAATTAAGGTCAAAAGGGGCTGATTTGTTAAAACCTTTAAACAACTTCTTCTGACAAAGGTTGAAGAAGTACAGTATTTGGCTTGTAGATTCCTATGATGAAGACTGACAAAGTTAACAAAAAGAAAATACCTTGACCCTTAATCAAGGTCACAGGGGTCAAACTTCTTAAAACCTTAAAACAACTTCTTCTGACCTACCAAAAAATGTAGAAGCATGGTATTTGGCTGATAGGTCTCTGGGATGAAGCCCAACAAAATTTGTGAATAAAAGCAATGACCTTAAATATGGTTCAAGGTCATTTGAAAATGGTTCAAGGTCATTGACTTCCTGCTATAGATCTTGAAGGGTGGCGGTGGTTGGATGGTTAAGGTATCTGACTGTTTCTATTACTAGCCTTCCACCTCTGGGTCGCTGGTCAAGGCCTACTTGAATTGGAGAATTTGACAGGTACTGGCCGCAGGTCAGTGGCAAGCTCAGGCTCTTCTCCAGCATCCAAATCTAGCACGTCCTTAAATGACCCTGACAGTTGATAGGATGTAATTCAACATTAACACTAAAGAACACAGATATTTTCTTACCATAGGTAACTTGTGTCCTGTTTAAGTATATTTGGGATGGTTGGACTTCAGACATCAACATAAGTATCTCCTCTTGTTTACAGATCTAGATCAGGTAAAATAACAGGATGACAGACTACAGTTCACCAGCACCTGGTCAGTACTCTGTGACCACAGAGACCACAATGAGTGCATCAACAAACCAACAAAAACCTTCCATTGGCCTGGACAAGGATTGGCTCAAGAGCTTGCCATCTTACCTCAAGATTGCTGAAATGGTGATTACACCTATATGGACATGTTATCACAGCTTTAAATTGGAAATATTAAATGCTGGCCATATATATATATATAAAAAGAAAATTGTTTTAAAAAAAACACAAGAAAAAATTAAGGTAGCATTTTGCAAAACGTTTTCACAGCTTAGCAAAATGCTAAGTTAACTTTTTCTTGTGTGTTTTTTTAAACAATTTTCTTTATATTATCACTTGAGTATCATCATTAACTATATTTTTTATATATATATATAGGGAGAGTTAATAGTAGCCCTATGTAATGATAAATGAAAATTGATATATATTTACATTTTGTATATGGGTTTTTGAGGATAACAAATGTCTTAGTTTCAATGAAGATAATTTATGTACTTGAAATTTTTGAAGGGGTTAAGAAGTTGATCAGTGTCAATGAAAGCGGGTGGGAGAGGGAGAGGGAATGTGTTTGCCACCCGGGTAACAGTTCTGTTTTGTTTGTACTATATAGTTGTAGCAATTATGGACCAAAGTTGTATCAGTGAGTCAAATATCGAAGGATTTTGAACATGTCAGTCCAAACTTCATGTAAAAAAACTGTTGTACATTGTACCTTCATCAAAATTTAAGTACTTACCAGGTATATTATACACACCATTAACAAGCAAGGTAGCCAATTAGTCATGGAATTTTGTGTATTTTAGACTTAAGAAATGAAAGTAGGAAAGATGAAACTTATAATTCTATTGAATTCTGGTTCATGAAAAATTTTTTGCTCACCTGGTCCAAATAACCATTGGATTATGTCATGGCCAGGCATCTGTATTTTGTCCCGCGTCAGTCAATTTTTTAATAAAAATTGCTACTAGTTATGAACGACTGCACAGATTTTGATCAAATTTGGTCTAAAGCAACATATTAGGCAAGTGGAACCAAGTTTGTATAATTATTGGTTCTCGGCCCCTAGGGGCCTGAGTGTTGGGGTCCAATATGGGAAATAGTGTAAATTCTTTGAAGTCCTATGTTCTACTGCAGGAATGATTGGATATTGCCCAAATTTGGTCTAAAGCATTCTTTGGTAAAGGAGAATCAAGGTTGTATAGACAATGGGGCCTGGTTCTTGGGCAGGGAGTTGTGAGGCCCAATAGTGGAAATAAAGCAATTCTTTTTCAAACCTTACTCCTGTAGAAATGATTGGATTTGAGATAAATGTAGTTCTGAAGCATTCTCAAGTGAAAAAGAATCAATTTTGTAAAATGGTGGGTCATGAGGGGTGGGGCCTAATGGGGTAATAGTGCACATTCTTTAAAATCTTACGCCTCCTGCAGGAATAATTTGATTTTGCCAAAAATTTGATCAGAAGAATTCTTGGGTGAATGAATGTTGTATCACTATTTGGTATTGGCCCCCTGGGGTGGGAGAGGAGCAGCTTAACAGGGAATATAGTGCAATTTCTAATCCTACTCTTGTAGGAATGATTGGATTTTGCCCAAATTTTGTCTGACACATTGTTGGGTGAAGGGGAATAAGGGAAAGACACCAAATTCTTTAAAATCCTTCTTCTATAGAAATGGGAGGATTCTGTCTGAAGCATGAACGGTTTTGCTGATCTCCCTTACTACAGAGGGTTGGGGCATAGGTTGTGTGCTTGGTATTTTGAACCCTTTTTCCTTTAGTTTTGATGAAGCAATTTCAGCCAAGCAAAGCCAGGGTACCAATACAGGCCATATGGACCTCTTGTTCATTGATTCTTGTATGTTGTGTCAAAAATTCTATATATACACTGTATTTCTTGCTGTTACAGGTTTTAGATCTGATCCTTTTCATCTGCGCTAGTGCCAATATCTACTTCTCCAACTCTGGAGGGGGCTGGGTCCAGTTTGTGGCTATATCTGCTTTAATCACAACACTGCTCTTCTTCCTTTTCCATCTGCTCCGAGTCATCGGCAGATTGCCGGGACCCTGGGGTTTGATTGTAAGTATAATATTAAACCTACTTATCATCATTATTATTAATAAGTATCGATAATTTATGAAATGATGATGTATTGATGTATCTGAGTGTATATATGGATGTGTATGAGGGTGTGTCTTGTTTGATATATATGTTGATGTTATTACTATTTCTGAAGAACTAAACAGATCATTTCTCTCTGTTAGTTCATTTTATAAATCACTAGTTGTGCATTGTTATTGAATGATATCGCTACTTTTACTGGAAGGACTTTTGTCTGCATACATAGGTTTTCCATTGTACTGTATTAGCCATGTTCAACATTCAGAGCGCATAAAAACACAAAACAAGAAAAGTGAACACTAATGAGGACCTAATGAAATTCACATAATGGTGGCCACTTAGATTCTTGCTTGTGTTTTCTAAAATGAAAAATTCTTAGAGCTTTTTCATCAGTTTGCGAACTGGAAACTCACGGAAGATTGTGTAGCATAGCTATAATTTTTAGCAATGATTCATTAAATACCGTCACAAACTAGCAAATTACAAAACACAGAAATATTTGTATTTTTTTTAATGTAGTTCAAAGTTCATTTATTTATTTTTAATGTCATTTTACAAAGCAGACAAATGTTTCTGTTCATGTGAAATATATGTGTGAAAGTAACCTCCCTTACAACAGCTAGTAGCATATATCTATATTTGTGTATTATCGTTCTTGAATATGTTTGATATCTATTACAGGAGTTCATCTACTACATAGTTTATGATGTGTTAATACTGATAGCAGCCATTGTAGCAGCAGCTCTCACAGGAACTACCAACCCTAATGGCAACGGTGCTATTATAGCATCTGCGGTAAGATTCTCTCCCTCTCACCATCCAATATAGTTTTATATTGAGGTACAAGGATATTTCGATATCTCAGTCATTTATATGCTTACCACATTGAGTCTTTAAAAGTAGGATCTCAGGTGACTTACTGATAATGTGATCTGTTTAGTCCTTTATGCCCCCTCTTTTTAAAGGGGTGTAAATTCTAGTGCTTATGAACCAGGTGTTGCCTCAGGTATTGACAGAGGCAGACTTGAAACAACAAATCAATTTCAATCAAGTATTTAAGGTTTTTGGACTCGAAGGGTCATGATGACCTATAGTCATTGAGCTTTGTTCGTTGCTTTGCGCCGCCTGCTGTGCGTCAACTTTTTACATTTTGAACTTCTTCTAAAGCTTCACCAGGGAGATTGAGCTCCAACTTGTATTGAATGATCCTGAGATGATCATGACCAAGTGTTGTTATTTTTCAGGTCTGTCTTAAATCCAAGATGGCCACCATGGCTGTTATCTTGAAAAACACATTTTAAACTTCTCCAAGTTCCACTGGTGCCTTTGAGCTATAATTGGTGGGAATGTTAAGAAAAGGTAGCCAACAATGTTTTGTTATTTTTCAACCTTGTCAAAATTTTGACATGGCAGCTAGGGAGGCCATTTTGTAACTTGATTGTGCAATCATGGTTTTCCTATGCAACACCTATTTCAAACTTCTCAAGTTTCACAAAAATTTCAAAAGTTCACACAATGGCTATAGGGTCAGATGACCTAATAAAGATGAAATATTTGTGTGCTCATTGATTCCTGTGGGATTTTTTTAAAAGGTTAAAGTGACATGTTTATAGTTTTCAGGTCATCTGAACCGAAGGGTCAAGATGACCTATAGCCATCGTGTTTCGTCCGTCATCATGTGCCATGCATCAGACATAAATTTTTTCTTTCAAACCCTACTCCTCTTTCATACCTGGATGTATTTCTACCAAATTTGATTTGGTGCATCATTGGATGAGGGTTGTCTTTCTTAAATTCAGATTTTTGGGTCTAGATACAGGGTCCTAAATGGGAGGTACTGAAATCAGATTTAAAACCCTACTCCCCTTAATGCTTGGTCGGATTTCAACAACCTTTGGCATGGTTCATCATTTTGGTTTAGGCGATTATTTCTTCAATTTAGAAATTTGATTTTACCCCTATGGACTTTTTGGCAGGGCCCCAAAAAGGGAAATTAGTCAATATTTTGCTTCAAAACACTACTCCATTTTAATGAATGCTTGAATGGATTGCAACTAAATTTGGTCAGAAACATCATCGAAAGTAGGGAATCATTTCTTAAATTCAAAAATTTGATTCGCCCCCTAGGGACTTCATTTAGATTAGATTTTGCTTCAAATGCTACTTTCTGAATGCTTGAATGGATTACAACCAGATTTAGTCTAAAACATCACTGGGAAATCATTTCTTATATTCAGAAAGTTGATTTGACCCTTAATCAATAGGAATGACCTTGACCTGCTTGAAAGGTAACAGGGATCATATATGTTAAAATCTCTAAATGATTTCTTCTCAATAACCAAAAGGCCAAAGATGGTGATATAAGGCCTGTAGCATTCTAGGATGAAGGGCTACGAACTTTGTTAATATGAACAACATCACTTTCAAGGTCACAGGTATCCTATCTGTCAAAATGTTTAAATGACTTCTTCTTGATAACTAAAAGGTCAAGGTCAAGGTATGTGGCTTACTTTTCAACAAGCAATGCATTCCGAGTAGTGGCAATTATGTAGTACATAAGTTTGCAGAAAATGTCTTGGTTAACCAACAATGTCTTCTATGTAAGCTGTAGAGTGATCAAGCAATTTATTTTAGGCCTATTTTGCCTCTTTCATATATAGGTCTGTATAGTCAAATGACCGTTAAGGCCCCATGGGCCTCTTGTTTTGATTAAAGTCATACTTGTCATGATTATAATATTACATGTTATACAAGTAACACTTTCAGGTATGTACCAAAGCAATCATGATCACAAATAAAAATCATCTTCTATCAAATCATGAAGCCAAGGATCATTATACTTATCAGCCAGTTTGTTTTGTCAATAAGTTTTCCACTCGTCCAAGTGGACAACCTATTTTTTTTATCTGACTATAACTGATATTGAAGCGCTTTTTATTCTGGAATATGATAACTACTGTTACTTAATAAATATTGTAGGACAGCCATAATAATCTTACATTGAAATAACCATATTGCATCTATCAAAAGACAAATGGACTCCAAATTCTCCAACCTGTCATTGATAAAGGTATAATATTTGCTAAGTCATGATGTGCAAAAATTTGAAAATTGCCAGGGATGTGTTGAAATATTACAACAGTAATGATATATTAAGGGATTTTAACATTTCCACTTGCAGTTGTTTGGCTTTGTAACACTAATTGTGTATCTGGTCGACACATTCTTCATGTACCGAAACTGGCAGGCTGGTAAATTTACAGCTGGAGGAAGTTCCACCATGCAAACCACAACCACCACTTCTACAACGTATGAAACTCGCACTCAATACTAAGCTGTGCCACGAACGACTCCACACCATGCTGTCAGGATATACAGCAGCATGTATCGGTCATCGGGATGATGTGAAACTGTGTTGTTGAAGATTTGCTTAATCTTTTTATTCAGGTTTACAGCAAAATAGTTACACTTGACGGTATGTTGATAACTGCTTAACAGATTAAAACAAGTCAATACAGTAGCTTTATGGGGGAATATTTAGGCTTATCATTATAATCAACCAATATTTAAATTTTTGTTACTTAAAAATAGCTGAATTTTCTGGCATGTTTTTCTCAAAAGCTTTTTAACATTTGTTCCCATTGATAGACATCTTATAATTTTTTTTTTCACATTTGAATTAATATATGATACATTTTTTCAAATGTTCATGAACTCGATTTTTAATAACATCATTTTTTTTTTCTCACCAGCTGTAACAGGAAAATATAAATGTTAGAAAGTGTGCAGAGTTATCCCTCTTTGGTGGCTTGCAGTTGAGAGTGGGTAAACTTGAACTTTTAATAACTTTAGCCCTATCTTTAAAAGAGGTAATTAAGGAAAACTTAGGCTGAGATAGGCGCTAGGCATAGAATATAATATGATACTTTTATTCAGTGCTTTCCAGATATGTTGTAAATTAGGTGGGCTTATTACAAAGCACGGATAATTACACTGTAATTATTGTTGAATAGTGTTTGTCGGTATTGGAATAGTGTAGTTAGTTGCATTATTGGTGCGCCCCTTTCTTGGTATGCTAAGGTGTACTTTTTCATGATCATATACCAATTATGTTTAGATAGCAGTGATAAAGAAAAGTTGTTAAGAGTGTATGGTCTTTTTTTTGTTTTTTTTTTTTTTTTTTTGTTTTTGTTTTGTGTGTAATAAATCTGGTTGTGTTGACTGTAGTTTATTTCCTGATCAAAAATTTTGAAGTGCTGTCAAAATTTGAAAATATTCTTGTCAAAAGAAATTTATAATGCACATTTGTATAGTTTTAATAAAAATGTTAAAAACCAATTTTTATTGAAAATTGATTGTGATAAAGGAAAACAATTTGAATCCTGCTCTATGCTCTATGCAAGTATCTTTTATGTTGAAAAGACAATACTCAGCTATTTATTGTTACTAGAAACATCGACTTGTACAGAATTTGTTTTCTGGATCAGACATTCTTTCTGGGTTCTAGCATAATGAAAAGAAAACAATTCAACAAAGATCTGTTTTATCTCTCACATTATTATATCAGTTTTATTCATTAATTTACTGAATATGATTTGAAACAAAAATGCACTTTTTTTCTTAATTCAGCATTAAGACGTATATAAGACTGTTTCTTTACCTGAAGTTTGAACCATTATGTATCATTTACATTGTATAATACAATTAAAGATTTAAGGTTTGTTATGTTTTTGAAATATCTTTGAACAGGTTTTTTTTTCTTAAAGAATTCTCACATTAACGAAGTAAATTGATCTTATTGTGTTATTTGACCCATACTTAAAAACGTCATAGTACTAAGTCCTCGAATGATTTTGATACTGATAAATTTATATATTTGACATTATTTAACTTGATGAATGTTTTGTGTTATGTTCTGTGAAAAGTATTGCAGTATTTAAGGATCTAGATCTGATTGAGTACAATTTCTGCATAAATAGATTGATACTGTAGTACAAAGTACCTATAGAAAAAAAACAGATTAATGTTCATTTACACATATAATAAATTATATACCTTTATTTATAGGTTTGTCAAACTATATACTGTAAACCTTCTTCCTTTCAATGCTATTAACTTCTGTGATTTCAGCGTCATGATAATTTATTTTCGTAAATTCTGAACCTCCATTGTCAAAAATTGATGGGCATTTTCTCCATTTAAACCCCATAGGGAGCCCCATTTATGGTCTTTTTGGTCAAAAGATGCAAGTTTGCCTTGGGACTGGTGAGGGACAAAGGTCAGTTAGTGACCATTTCATAGACCGTGGTGACTTGACACTTCATTAGCAGCAAATGTGACACAATACCCTGAGAAATAAATGAGTTGAATAATCTCCAAATTGAATCCAAACACACTAGCGATCTTTACCTGAAACTTACAAAACATCAGAAGCAAACATTCATGAGAACAGACCATTGTCACCTGTACTGTATAAGTAGATTTGGGATGAAGTTAAATCACGAAAATTGGGTCGGTGATCCATGTTTTAATTTTCGAGTTTTATTTTCATGATTATGTTACGATCGTGAAATTTGTAAAAATAAATCACATTCAAAAGAAAGTTGGTTTACAGTAAATTGTACGTGCCTAGACCTTCATCAACAGGTATAACTTATTTTATATGATGTACATGTATGATAAACCCTGGATGTATCAGTATTAAAATTATGTACCATTATGAATGAAAAGATCTTCATTGATTTATTGTTTCCAAATGGGAAAAAATTGACACTTTGATAACACATCTACTGAGTTTTGCTTGGATTAAATGAAAGGGTTTTATTTAAATATTATTTCACAAGTAAAAATGGTAAAAACTCTCTGATATAGTTCTTGTGCCGTGACCTTGCGTACTGTATTTATGGGTACTAGATCACACTTTTATTTATGGCAGCTTGATGTTGTATTGTTAGTTTAGTGGTGTGAAATCATCCCTTAAAACGTAATATGTTTAGCTGTGTTTATATAACTCTGCTACTGCAAGCAAAATAATGTGAGTTGGATTTAAAAAAAAAAAAAATTTTTTTTGCAAAATATTAAAACCTTAATTGGTGGTGATTGATACTAAAGAGGATGCCATTGAAAGCTATTTAACTTTAATGAACAAGTACATTATCCTAGATTTTCTTGCAGTAATGGTTTTGTTTAATAAAATTCTGTGATACAAGTTGCAGATAAACAATGTGCAACTTTAAGCACAATTAAAGAGAAAGCACATTAATTAATTTCTACTATTTTGTGAAATAAACAAAAAGAGCTTTCTTAGCAGCATATTCAATTATTTACAAATTTAGTGAACATATTTGAAAATATGAAAACCTTTCCTAGTTTACAGTTGCTCTATTGCATATGCAATGTTCTGAGGAGAAATTTGATAAAAAAAAAAAAAAACTCCTCGGTATTGATTTACCGACTTCATTACGTTATAGAAATACTCTTAGACTTGTGAAATACTGGTAACATTATAGTTCTTTAACCCTTAATGACCTTTCTGAAGACTTGTCCTCTGTAGAATTATCTAATCTTGGACTATTTCTGAATCTCCAGTCCTAGTTGTTTACCTCTTTTCTTTTATATTAAACAGATTATTTCTTTATTTCAGAATTGGAGAATTTATTCTCAAAATCAATTAAATTTGCATGTCAATGATATATATATATATATATATATTGGATTAATGAGTTTGAGGCCTTACTATATTTTTAAACTGTTTCTCCTCTAATTGTGATGATTGTACTGGCTAACCTTCATTCTTGTCATCATCTTCTGTTGTACAAACACATGTGTACATAGACATCCTATTTAATAGGTTAGACATATTAAGGGCTTTTAAACTGAAGTAGTAGAGCATATGATATGTGTATATATGGATAAAGAATTATTATAAGACCTGAACTAAAACCTGTTTTGCTATGGTATAACACCCAGAAATGTCAAAACTCGCACATCAGATACAGTGATCATTTGAAGGCAATAAATTGGTAACCCAGAAGATTTAAATCGTGTTATGGTTATGGTTAAAGACAAAATTCCTCGCACACATATGTTTTTTCTCTCTCTATTTTTGTTTCTTCAGTAATGAATTTGTTGGTTATAAATATTCCAAACTTGAGAGTTTTTGTCAACAAGGATTATTGATTGAGCATTTTTAAAGATATTATGAAGTACGAGTATCATTTAAGATATAAATGCATGCCTGATTGAGTTAGATGTACTAATATCTATATTGTGATGTAATTCTGTCCTATATTCATTATAGAACATTAAACATAGCTACATAAACTATTGATATATTTGATTAGTGCTGCATCATAGAAATCTGGAGAAAATGTTTAGAGTTATTTTTGTTGAATTGTCTTTAGAGTGTGTTGAAATTTTCTTTTTCTTTATATGTTTACTAAGTTTGACTTTTTTTTTTAAGAACTACTCGAGATCACTCTCTTCTACCAAAGGTAAAAGACATGTATACATTTCTAGAGGCTTAATCAATTGTACCTGGATCTAGAATCATCAAATTGTATACACAGTGGTGGGTTTTTTTATTGTTTTTAATAATTAGAATATTTAATATTATCATCACTTTCTATAGGAGTATTGAGATAGGGGAAAAGATATATTGTAATATACATGTACCAAACTAGTCTAGCATGATTGTTATTAGGAAGACTAGAACTGTATCAATATGTCCTGTTCTGTCTGTAGTGTGTATAAACCATCGATATATTGTATATAGGCATTGTATCATATATTAAACAAATTAGTGAAATTCAAATTGGTTGTAGATTTGTTAACAACAAGTTCCAGTATTACGGAAGGGTTCTTTTACTCCATCCACTCACATTCCCTCTAAGTTACGTCTTTTTTTTTTGGTACAATATGGAATGTTGTTCGTGGGTTGGATAATAATTGGTTAAGGCACGTCTTTCATACAGGACAACAGCATAGTGTTGGTTCACCCATTCTAATCTTCTAGAGTTACTTCCCTTTAATTAGTCTCGCTAATGGTAAATTTATCAGCTTGAAGACTGAAAGCCTACCAATAGAATGGGCATTATTAGGGTTATCTTGGAGTTCACTGGTATATTTACAAATTAAGACTCCATAGGTGGGCCTGCCTGTTTGGTTAATCAGTTTTCCCCATAGGTGAAATATGTAAAAACTAATCCTTAACAGGTAGTCTGGAATTCAAATAACACCAGACAAGCACTTTAACATTTTCTATTTTCCAGGTATTTTATATTTTTCTGTTTTCATTGAAGATATACATGCAACTCGTATTTTAAAAAATTGTAGTTTCTTCCATCGCTTCAATCAAAAATACATAAATTTGAACCTAGGAAAAACCTTTACACTATCTGACTTGTGATAAGCTTATCATGGTTTTTAAATTAACAAGCAAATACAAGAAATCGACTGTACTACATCTTTATTGTAAGCTCAACATAACATCAACAGTGTAACAACATTGACTATAACAAGCTAGTCACCAAAACAATTCTATAGTACCATGCTCTCCACTAATTGGTATACACTTTCCTTCCAGTAAAGTTTTTACTACTTTCAGTCTTTCATTTACCTTGCCCACAGTCGTGCAAGTGTGCCTGGTAGATTACTTGCCCTTCTGTAGTATAATACCCTGTAAGTCTTAGTCCAAATTATTCTGAAGTTCTATCAACATTTGTATATGAACTTGGAATCAAACTTCCAGGCAATATACAAAAGTCTACAGAACATCAGAATAATTTGGACTACATAAGCCTATACTACTGTTTGAGTAGTTTATATAGATCTTTCCCTCAGTCAAATATATTTCTTGCCCTTTAAGTAAACAAAATCTTTCCTAAATTCTAGTATCATTCTTGTTCCTGTTCAGTGAAGATCTGGCACAATGCCTAGAAAATCATTCCTTAAAACTTATACATTTTTGGGATTCTCAGCAGAGTTTAATCTTGCCCTGAGGGAAGCATAGATTGCTTGCAGTCAGCCTAGACTAGTATATTACTGGTACGAATCCCAAAATCTACACCAAGTTAAAAAGGTCTTGCCTTCAGACTCATCAACATCTTGCCCTCCAATATTTACAATATAAACAATCCATACCTAAAGCAAGACAAAAATTCTCTTCCAAATATTTGCTCAACACTTTAAGTAACATGAATAATCTAGAATGTTGCCATTTAAAAAATACCAGCAACAAAAATGGAGGCAACAAGTTACATACTCGACATCAACCAGTTGACATTGGGATAAGATATTCTGATGTTTATGTACATCAATTCAAACATTGAATCCCCTGAGTTTAAGTTGTAATCATCTTTTTAACCTCACAATAGATTGCTCTCACTTAAACAGCTTAAAGATGATAGTTCCGGACACAAGTCAGCTACTCGCACACAATCTAAATCTACTATTGTCAACAACAAAAATCTGTATATTGAATTTACTTATGTTAGTTTTCTGTGCATATTGTACCAATTTCATTTGGCACATGTACACACAACACACCAATGTCTGGAAAGCACCTACCAATTTGAACAGATGAGCGTAAAACTCCACGTAATCTGTGACTGTAAAATGACATTAAAACCTATTTTGGTAGATCAATGATAAAAAAGAGATTTGAAAATAAAATCAGTAAACTTTGAGTCACATATTTCCTGTCAAAATCGAAAACTCTGAAATCATAAACATCACACAAATGCAAAACAAATCTGGTGAAAATAAATACTGCAGTATATGTAAGTTTCCCAGAGCATTAAAATCATAATTGTACAGATTGGGAAATTGTTTTTCAGTATGCACTGCTATATCCGGTAACACAAAATATCTCCCAAAGGTGACTAAGACATGTGGACATAGAAATATTTACTATAGAACAAGCACCTTCACTGTGTAATCATTGTCAATCTTACAAATAATGTGACCTGTTTGCCAGCCATTTTACATAACCTAGCTCTGCCATTTAATCTTCCAACTTTAAACTAAGTCTTCTCATTAAGACAAATGATATACCATATATACACCTTCAGTAGGTAAATTTAGTTGCACTCCAGATGTAATGGTAGAGAAGAAAGTAATACCAAACTCCGACTCAAACACAGAAACTCCTGAGAAGGATGTAACACCAGACTTTGACTCAAACACTGAACCTCCTTGGAAGGATGTAACACCAGACTTAGACTCAAACACAGAAACTCCTTAGAAGAATGTAACACCAGACTTGGTCTCAAGTACAGAGCCTCCTGAGAAGGATGTAACACCAGACTTGGTCTCAAACACTGAACCTCCTTGGAAGGATGTAACACCAGACTTAGACTCAAACACAGAAACTCCTTAGAAGAATGTAACACCAGACTTGGTCTCAAATACAGAACCTCCTTGGAAGGATGTAACACCAGACTTAGACTCAAACACAGAAACTCCTGAGAAGGATGTAACACCAGACTTTGACTCAAACACAGAACCTCCTGAGAAGAATGTAACACCAGACTTTGACTCAAACACAGAACCTCCTGAGAAGAATGTAACACCAGACTTTGACTCAAACACAGAACCTCTTGAGAAGGATGTAACACATGACTGGACTCTAAAACTTAAACTTTTGTCTCTAGAAAACATAAATTCTAACCTCCTCCTCTGTCTTTGATAGTTACTATGTCCAGTCTTCTTAGAAATCTATAGTTCAAGAGTGTTATGCCCCCCAAAAAAAGGCAGTGTGTATGTCTTGCAGTCCAAGGACAATATTGTATTTGGGTTTGAATCACTCTGCCTAAGTATTAATTATTATAATAGACAAGTTAGGTAAAGAATAAACCAGGTAAAAATTTACAAAATCACGATACTATGTAACAACAGTCACTACAAGTTTTAAGACTACACAGACACTGTTATATTTCATCAATACTATAATACAAAGGTACATTTGGACATCACAAAAAGCCAAAAACATCAACATCAAGGGCATCCACTTGAAAGCACAAATATGGTCTTCCACAGATACACCTGGAATGGTTATACGTTATCACAGATCTATACATTGATGTCGTGGAAATACGTCATCGACACATGAATACATATGCAGGTGAGATATATCTTTATACACATATTTAAAATACTCACGTTAATTTCAAGGAAAGTAATATTAGTATAAGTACACGTATATCAGTTTTGCTAATTACAAATGTAACAATATTAAAATCTGTGTAAGATACACAGTGTCAATCACAAAGAGGCATATATATTGTATTATGTGATTGGTTGGAGAGATGACAGGTGGAAAAAACAAACGGAGATAAGGGGGTTGTACAGATAACTAAGAGCGACAACAAGAGATATGAAGCCAAGGAAAAGCAAAAAAACATGACGTGGGAGAGGACAGCAAATCAATGGAGTGATAAGACAACAGTTACATCAGTTGAAGGAGGGGCAATGAAGGCAGATAAACAATAGGGGTTAAGAGGGTTAGGTACACTGAGGGTGGTCAGGTAGCACAGTGTCATTGCACTCATCTTTCACCTAGATGCTCGGGGTTTAATTCCTGGAATGGACATCAAAAGTTATGGGGACACCTACCTCACCAAATGTGTTATCACCGGGTTTCCTCCCACAGAATGACCTTTGAGGGGGATGTTACTACATACTAATTAAACAGGTGGTGAAATCAGATGGAGATAAGAGGATTCAGGATGTTCACAAAAGATATGTTGTGAAGACTAAAGTGAGGTAGAGGGCGCACAGTTAAAACAGATGAATGCTTGATAAATGGGTGAGAAAGATGAGGGACAGAGGCAAAGGAGGTGGTGAGGCAAGTAATTGTGCCATTTGAAATAAAAAAAAGAATGAATTACCATACCAGTGGAGACTACTCTATACATCTAGACTGTGAAATACATTACACACATTTTTACTTTTTGTGCCTTTTAATTCTGGTAATTCAAACAGAGATCATACATATCAGGCAATTTCAATATCTCACATTTCTATCACTAAAATAAATTGGAAAAGACATTGAATAAAAATACGGAATGATATCAATGCCTGGTACCTCATATATATGTACCAGTATGTACAGTGGCACCAATGATGTCACATAATACAAGTAAATGTACCCTAATGTTTAAACCCATATAACTTGTACATTATGTATGACTTACTAAGATGTTTAAAATAAGGCAGTGCAAATGATAAAATCACCTTTGTGGTTTCACCTTGACTTTGTGCACAACAATGAAGTCAAATATGTAAGTTCCCTGGTGGAATGAAGTCATGTGAGTGCTGAAAATGATTCATCAAAAGTATGAATGGTGACCTTAAACCTGTATACAACCCTGAAATTCTGACTTGCCTGTCATATCATGATCCTTTATATGAATATGAAGTTTGATCAAAATCCCTTTACGAATGAAACTGTTTGTGAGCTGACAAAGGTTTTCTAAAAATACTAAGTGATACTAACCTTGACCCTCCAACTCTGAAAATCAAACCTAAGTGAGATATTTTGCTCCTATATCCAGGTGATATCAGTTCAAAATCCCTCAAGACATAAAGCAACTAAAGCATTGACAAGGATTTGTTTAAAATTATAACCTTGACCTTGATTCTTCAACCCTGAAATTGAAATTTGTTTGAGGTGTCAAACATGTAGTACTTTATAAGTGTGTAAAGTTTTATCAAAATCCCTTAAGCTATGAAGTCATTAAAATGCATTAAAGCAAATTCTAACCTAAAAATAGTAAGGTGCCTTTGAACCCTCAAATTTGAACTCATCTGAAATGTAATGAATGCATAAGTGTTACATATATATGTCTGAATGTTCATACTAATGTGAGGGAACATTATGTCCAGGACATTTATCATAAATATATACATGTATATATAAAAAAAAGTTCTCAGTTAGATAAACTATCCACATAGGTGATGTAACTAGATTCAGGAATAGCAAACGATCAGGTAAAACATTATGCTTGGCTAGGTAGGGAAGGGGAGAGATTACAGGAATCAAGACACACAGCATATTCACACTGTACAATAAATGCTTGATTTTTACCAAAATGTTGAAATGCAAAGAGATATATAAAGTGGTATTTCATGGCTTTGACTAAGAATGATGATGTTCACATGCTGATTGAGGTGACTATTTTGGTTAATATATACATTTAGATTTATGTACAAAATGTATCCTATAATGGTGATTTTAACACATATTATTGTAATTACTATTCACACAATCAAACATATTACGCAATTCGTAGATATGTTTTAATGGACAATGAAAGACTGAAAAAGTTGCAAAAAGCAAAGGTTTGCTAAAAATCCTACATTCATAACTTTCATCATACATAACTTACCTACAGTTGCTATACAGTATTGGAAATAAAAAACTGAAAGACTGAAATTGCACATTATTCAAAATTGTAAATTGATATTATGAAGTGTTTTTTTCAAAATTTGTGTTTAAATATTAATCAATTAATTAAACAATATGGATCGTTTATATATGAATATAAAGAAATGTGTTATAACAGTTTACATCTTCACATACAGACATCATAAAGTTCACCATGAGATTGTAATATTATGTGATAGGTGAAAAATTGTATTGCATCTTAAACTATGGACTACTACTCCTTAGAGGCATTGTGACTAAGGAACATTAAATCAACACTAATAATAGGCCTCTGCTAAGTTGAGAATCACTACCTGGCCTATCAGAATATCACCATAGATCTGTCTGTATCTACGATACAAGGGAAGAGGTTGTGTCTAAGTTAGTTCTGCATACTCTGTAGATTAGACACCATAAAAGGAAATACATTAACAGGAAACATACTCCTGTCAACAACACAAGACCTTACTGATTTATGAAAAGAAAACAAAAGTGATAGGGATGACATATTCCAGTAAACATGAATAGTTCCTGTAACCTACAAGGTGACTAGTTCCTGTAAACTACAAGGTGACAAGTCCCTGTAACCACAAGGTGACTAGTTCATGTAACCTACAAGGTGACTAGTTCCTGTAACCTACAAGGTGACTAGTCCCTGTAACCTACAAGGTGATCTGTCCCTGTAATTTACAAGGTGACTAGCTCCTGTAACCTACAAGGTGACTAGTCCATGTAACCACAAGGTGACTAGTTCCTGTAACCACAAGGTGACTAGCTCCTGTAACCACAAGGTGACTAGTCACTGTAACCACACAGTGACTAGTTCCTGTAACCACAAGGTGACTAGTCCCTGTAACCACAAGGTGACTAGTTCCTGTAAACTACAAGGTGACAAGTCCCTGTAACCACAAGGTGACTAGTTCATGTAACCTACAAGGTGACTAGTTCCTGTAACCTACAAGGTGACTAGTCCCTGTAACCTACAAGGTGACTAGTCCCTGTAACCTACAAGGTGACTAGTCCATGTAACCACAAGGTGACTAGTCCCCACAAGGTGACTAGTTCCTGTAACCACACAGTGACTAGTCCCTGTAACCACAAGGTGACTAGTCACTGTAACCACAAGGTGACTAGTCCCTGTAACCACAAGGTGACTAGTCATTGTAACCATGAGGTGACTAGCTCCTGTAACCTACAAGGTGACTAGTCCCTGTAACCTACAAGGTGACTAGTCACTGTAACCATGAAGTGACTAGTTCCTGTAACCTACAAGGTGACTAGTCCCTGTAACCATAATATACAATTTGTATATAATAATCAGCCAAATTTGATGATTTGCTGGGACACCTAACTGCATCATATCAACATTTTAAGTGTACATATACAAAACGGTGTGATCTACAATACACATTACAGCTATAAAAGAAGAATAGAGTAATACTGTATTATAATGACAGAGTTGGTTCAGTGGCTGACATGACACAGTTGTATACCATTGAGATTCCTGAGGAATTCCAGAGTAAAATGTCTGTGACATTTGTAAAACAATAATGACAAGTTGTTTACTGAAATACAACACTTACTGTTACTGGCTGTATGTTTACTCAAGTGCTGTATGTAGGACTGGTATAATTCCCTACTAGTATGTGAACAGGGTCAATATCAAATATTACCCAAACAAGTGGCCATTACACATTGTAAGTTTGTGCTGTATCCAACTAGTAGAATTGAGAATGCCTACTTCATTGAACAATATACAGGAGGCCAGTCATATATCATCAAGCACAATTACAGTACAGTGTCTCACCCAAGGACAACCATATGACATCAAAGATGGGTCCTTTTCACCACCTCCACAGGCTAATATTGTGGTAACATCCCATCCCTTTCACCACCACCACAAGCTAATAATGGTAACATCCCCTCCCACCACCTCCACAGGCAGAGCATTAAACCACAGGCTAATAGATCCCTTTCACCACCTCCACAGGTAATATTGTGCACCACTCCACAGTAATATTGTGGTAACACCCCCACCCACCACCTCCACAGGCTAATATTGTGGTCTTTCACCACCTCCACAGGCTAATATTGTGGTAACATCCCATCCCTTTCACCACCTCCACAGGCTAATATTGTGGTAACATCCCCTCCCTTTCACCACCTCCACAGGCTAATATTGTGGTAACACCCCCTCCCTTTCACCACCTCCACAGGCTAATATTGTGGTAACACCCCCTCCCTTTCACCACCTCCACAGGCTAATATTGTGGTAACACCCCCTCCCTTTCACCACCTCCACAGGCTAATATTGTGCACCACTCCACAGACTAATATTGTGGTAACACCCCCTCCCTTTCACCACCTCCACAGACTAATATTGCGGTAACACCCCCTCCCTTTCACCATCACCACAGGCTAATATTGCGGTAACATCCCCTCCCTTTCACCATCACCACAGGCTAATATTGTGGTGACATACCTTCTCCCTTTCACTACCTCCACAGGCTAATATTGTGGTAACACTCCCTCAATTTTACCACCACCACCACAGGCTAATATTGTAGTAATTACTGCTATTTCCCTTAAGACTTCATTTCACATCATTCAGAATTTTTCAACATCATCCAGTCAAATAAAGAAAAAAATTGAACTGTTTGTCATTGATGATGATTATAATTAGATCTTTGACCAGATAAGTTAAATACATTGCTTATTACACTAGAAAAGGAATAAATAGAATCCATTCAAAAATGTCACCTTCATTAAATTGGCAACTTGTATCATAAACACCTAGTATAAATAACACTATTGCACTGCTATATCATAAACTTTACAATGCCACAGAGAGGATTGACACAATGTTATACAATTACTTATAACAAGTAACAAGCACCTGTTTCTTGGAAAATGATGCTGTCTGACACATTATTGAAGTGTGTGTATCCAAATGACCTAACCACATATCTCATTGTTGAGATAGTCACGACGTATTACAGACTTTACACATCCAAAACACCAGCGAGCAGATGGCATCTCTAGATTTTCCATGGACTCAATCTCCAGATTTTTCTTGTTCAGATCAATGACCTTGACATTTTTCAGGATGTTATTATCTGGTGTTTTGCCTCCCACAAGCAAGATCTTCCCTCTGTATTGAATGACTTCAAAGTGATGTTGACTGAAGTTTGGAAGCCGACACCTCAGTTTGCCCAGAGTCAGAATAGAAACTTCTGAAGAAGTAGAAGAGCCTGGTTCAGTATCAGAAATACTTGTATCAGAGTTAGAGGAATCCAGTCGACCACGGGGTGATGATGCATTCAGAACATTGTTCATGTGTGTTGGGTCTTTGAACTGAAGTACTCGTCCATCTGGCGCTAATACATATACATTTGTATCCAAGGATACTGTCCGAGTAAGTCTACAGGTAAAGGGAAGGTCACCAATAATGGTACATGTCCTCATTCGGGAGTCAAAGCATTGGACAGAGTTAGAATCCTTGTCTGACTCAGTGATTCCACCAAACACAAAGACTTTCTCCCCAATGACTGAGGCAGAGGTAGACCTGACACCCAGTACCAGGTCACCAGCATTGGTCCACTTCTCTGTCTGAAGATTGAACTCTTCAATACTTGTGATTGCTGGAGCACGACCATCTCGTCCCCCAATCACAAAAATGGAATCGTTAACTGCCACCATGACATGGCCACAGCGCCCATTACAGAGAGAAGCACACACTTCCCATTGATTCTTGTGTGTCTTGTACTCTGCCATACCCTGAAGTTTAAGCCATCCCCCAGATATAAACAGCCTGTCTGCATAGGTGCAGGCAGCAAACTCATATCCAGGGTCGTATGGGAGAGATGGGAGATAGAACCATCGATGTTGCTGAAAACTGAAACACAGAACTTCCTTAGTGGTTTGATAACGCGGAGTTGTCGATAAGAGTCCTCCTATCACCACTAATACATCATCCTTTGTTCCGTTCTGTCTGCAGCATGCCTGAGGTGATGTGAAGTCTTGACGTCGAGAAACACAAGTGTGGTATTTGAGTGCCTCCAATAGCAATCGCATACACCTTGGATCAGTCTTGATGTAGGGAGTTTTGTCCATGAAGTTGAAAAGGTAGTCACTTGAGACTAGGGGGAGATGAAGACTCCCTAAGATCTCATGCAGCTTATCCTGTCTCTCCTCTGAACTGTGGTTGACCCACTGTATGGCCACGTCACAAATAAACTCCTCACTGGGTGAGTTGAGGTGATCACTATTGATGATACTGACAAGTTCATCTGCATCTAGATTTGGGAAATCTTCTGTGGTAGATATAACAGGAAAGTTTTCCAAAATGGTGATCCACACTTTGTCCGCTAGTTTCATCCTGTTGTGAGCTTTAGCAATCTTCCATATACCTATACAATTTTCATAAGATGCTTGAGCCAGAAGGAACTCTTCACAACGCTCCTGCAAACACGGAATCTGCATCAGAGAGGCTGCTTGGAAAACTTTTTCAACATTGAGTTCACAGACAACATTTTTACCAGTGTAGATGTACTGCAATACACTATCAAATACGTCTTGATCAATGTCATGTAGGGTCACAAGGTTGTCCAGGTTCTCACGCATGTCATGTGAAAACATTGCCTCAAAGTAGGGGGAGATAGCACCTAGAACCACTTTGTGACACAGAAACCTTCGATCTCCGACCTCCACTGTCACATCGGAGTGCTGACCGCTGGTGAGCATTGCCTCCATGCCAGATGATAAGATCGACAGGTACTTCAGTTTGCCTTCCATTACCTGTAAAAATTATACAAAATCTACACATTAGCTTATTCTGACATACAGATGATAATCAATTAAAAACACACTCATTAATAAATGATAAACAATAAATATGAAGTTAAAACTGCTATGTATTAACTTCTGTCAGTGAGTTTACCAGTAGCCTTCAATCTACTACATGTATTACTGTAGTGGCAAGGAAGAGTCACAGCAAAGATATATAGGTCATATAAATAGATTACAATTACTTGTACAGTTGTGACATCAGGCAGCAAATGTGCTCTTACTGTAAAGAGTATCACGCACTTATACTATATAAACATTTCAGAAGACTACCACTGGATTCTTTTCTGAAAAATGCTTTTTTATGGTACCCTAAATTGATAGGAAAATAACCCATTATGTTATGTATACGCACTGGAGACACAGCGAGTTTAAACTTTTTCACTGTATTATAATAGTATGTAATGTCATCAGCATGCACAATCAATCAGCTACAGCTTATTACTGTGTATAGGTATCATGTAAAGTGCTGGGTAACTCTCTGTTCCATAGACTGTGACAGAGCAGAATTTGTTATAAAAATTGCCATTAATTTTGCAAGTCATCCCATTTGCGTAAAATCATGCCACTAATTTAAATCAAATAAGCTAATGTAAGCCATAAAACAAATCGACTAAATCTGTTTTCTTTACTTTGTGTCTAATCAAAGTACAGGGCATGTGGCAAATTCATTCTAATGTAGCAAGCATGATGAAGGGACTGTACTGATTTTTAAATGCAAATCAAGTAAGAACTTGGTTTTCTAAAATCACAGGTATGAATCAGTGATGATTGGGACTGGGTTATTTGAGTCCTGGACTCATAGTTTCCTGAGGGACTCAAATTTTAAGATACCACTACACAATGTATCTCTAAGTATTGGGACTCGTCAATATTTTGGAATTGTTGTTCTAAACTTGTCTTAAAAAAACAAACAAAATGCCGAAGGTCAACCCTTTAAGAAAAATCTGACACTGATTAGATAAAAAGTATGTGTGTATGAAACCACAAATAGACATTCTCATCAGATAAAGGTTGTAATTTACAAGGGTTTCGTTTTCATCTATTTTTAAAAATGAAATAAAAGCATGATAAAATATTTCTTGAAGATAAATTAATTGAACAAACTACAATTTTAAGTCTCAAGGCTCCTGTGAAAAATATATCCTGTTTATTAAGCTTAGGGTAAAAACTACAAAGATTTGAAACAAAAAAAAACCAACAGTGCACTCATGTCGGATGATTGCTACAGGGTATACTGTCATGTAACAATATATATGTGCTTCTCACAGAGCCAACATGTGCATACATGTACATGTTATGTGTTTTTATTTGTCTTAGTTACAAAAACCCAACATCCAAATAAAAACAACAGTATGGACTGTGGATTATATCAATTAGCAAATAATTTATTTTGTTTTTGAAACAAATCATCTAAAGGACAGAGAGTAAATAAAGCTTCATACTTTATTATAGAGGTAAAATTTATGATGAAAGAGGTAAAAAATAGATATTACAGTGTTGTTTTCAATACTTCAATTAATTTAATAAATATTTTGCATTTTGTAAGTTTACTGGGAAGACAGACCCCAATACAATTGCCTTCCTTCTGAACATTACATTATATGACTTGACTAACTTTGCCAATCTCTCCATAGAATCTGCTCCGACACCAACTCCACCCAGATTCATAGAGCTAATTTCAATCTAGGTAACATAGTCTGGACTGTCCTCTGTAGGATTACAGGCAAAACAAACATTACCCTTACCAACACCTATAAGACTTAATAACTGACCATTCCTTACACCAAATTGTTAATTAGTCACAATACCACCATTAGACATGGCAGATCATGATATTTTCTTTGCAGACTTTCATGTTTCTCTTACAAGAAATAAATCCCCAATCACAAAAACTACATCTCTTTCGGAATGCTAATTGGGACAGAATCAATAAGGACCTAAAAGACCATACAATACCCTTAAAGCGAAAAAATAATGACACACACACAGAAACCTTATAGACCATACTCAAAACCAATCTTTGTTAATCAGTAAAGCAGGATGCCCCACAAGAAAACTTCAAACACAAAATCCCACCCTGGATAAATGGCCAACTACAGAAAAAAGTTAACAAATGTAAAAAATATTATAAGTCAAAGCAAGTCAAAAAAGGGGAAAACTAAAAACAAAACTACAAACAATGCATCTGCTATACAAACTTTGTTTCTCTGGCATCAGATCAAATGCTCACAAATGAATAGCTTCTTTTCTCTTAAACAGAACACAGTCTGTTATACCTTATGGTAATGTATCTGACACAGTCTCTGTCACATCTGGTGTCCCTCAGAGCACTGTTCTTGGCCCCATACTATTTCTGATATACCTTTCTGAATACATTAAATATAACTCTCTCCCACTCTTTGCTGATAATAGAATTATACACAGGAACATCAAAGCCAAAGATGATGTTCACAAATTTCAGTTGGACCTTGGCACTGCAGCTGCCTGGGAACAAGATTTGCTTATGTCCTTTCTTCATGACAAGTGCTACATACAGCAAGTCACAAATAAACGATAAATCTTCACCGACAATTTACACTTTACACGGCCATGTTCTAGAGATAACAAAATCTGCGAAACATCTGGGTGTCACCATATAGTCTCACCTGGAATGGGACCTGCATATCAAATCCATTACATCTAAAGCAAATCAATCACTCAGCTTCTTTCAACGAAATTTAAACTTTAAACTCTCCATAGGTTAAAGACCATGCTTATAAAACCCTAGTATGTCCTGGGATCCACATACTACATCACAGATAAACCAGCTAGAAAAATTGCAACTTCAAGCCTTCAAATACGTGTGTAACAATTACCACAATACAAACTCTGTCACTAACATGACTGAATCTCCACACCAGCCACCACTTCATGTTCGCCGCAGGTAAAACAGACTTATTACGATCCACAAAATAGTACATGGCCTAGTCACACTTCATCCTGAAAATCTTTTCCCGGTCAACTAGCACCTTTGTTCAAGCCAACACCCACCCATGCACTTTCAGACACATACAAACCTCTACAGACTGCTATAAACACTCCTTCTATCAAACATCTATTATACAATGGAACTCATTTCTCCAGTCTTTTGTTTCTGCTGGGACTGTTGACACCTTTAAATCACTTGTCACACATATCTTATCACTAAAACTCAAATTCTTCTTATCTTAAAATAAAAAACTTTTATCTTCTAAACCAACAGCTTGGGACTAATCGTCAGAATCGATGGCCACCAAATACTACTACTTCCACCAAGAAGATTTGAGCCAGAGAGAACCTCAAGGCTGTATGTTAAGATACATTGTTTGTTGAATGTGTTGTGATTCATTTATGAACATTAAATTTATGTTGGTGTACATGATTCAACAAATTATTTATGTATTATATCAATATTTCACTGACATGACAGTACAGTATATCCACCTTATCCAGCTTATCCTTGTACATTCTATATTTTAGACACATATACATACACGTTACATATTTAATTTAGAAATAGCATTGAGATATAAACAGTATACAGGTGGTCTATATATATATACAAATTATAAGAGACTCATACAGTGATGTTTTGTTCTGATATTCTTCTTAATTCATGCATATGACATAATCATTGACAACACCAGAGACATGTTTCTGACAACACTGATGGATCACACTAGTGCATCAATACCTATATGCATCAGTATGCATGCATGTCATATACATATTTCGATGAATTGGATTTCATGAAATAAATAATACCGTGGACAGACAGTCAGAACCCTGCGGAAAAGTCACAGACATCAGTGCGTCTATGATCTTTTTGACTGCCTCTTTCGACTTTCATTGTCCCAATGTCCATTTACAAATAAACCTAGCACAACACGTTTTTAACAGACATGTTTTACTTTAAAACAAACATTAAATGCTGATCAAAGGGATCTGTTAAATACCGTGTTATTTCCTTCTTCAAAATCATACAAAAGATTGCGCAACAAAACACACATAATTGAACTCGGTAACAGCCAGTCAGCTGTTTCTTTGTCGTCAACAATGTGTGTCGTTGTTTTATTTGATACTTTAAGCGTCTTTACTAACCTGTATGTATGATCTCTGAGGTTCCATCCATAAAATCACTAAGCTTACAAATGGTCGCCACAATAACCAGTCTTTGTTGTCATCATGCGTATTTTAATTACATTTTAATGAGGAAGGACTCCGCACATTTCCGTACGTTTCCAAAACATCGCCCGTGTATAACAAAAGCTTGAATTTGCAGGTTAATGATAAAACATAGCAGAGACCCCGACGAAGCCTGACATGGCGGGAATAGATCAATGTAAACAAATTTTCACAATGATGACTTAATGATACGACAGCACACAGTGTTTTGTGAATATTGAATCAATTTTAGTTTTAAATGAATTTACCATGTCAATAGGACCAGACACTCAACAGGTCAAGGACAATATGTTTTCAGTCGAATTAAGATCACGGACTTGTATGAAGTCCGTATTTAGATATTTACATGTAGTTTTCAAAGACCGTTTTAAAAGTTGATTTCATCACACCTAAACATGACACATCTATGTTTTTGCTAAGTTTTTCCTTTTGTTTACAAGTATATTGTTGTTGCTTCAAATAGTCATCACTCGACCTACATTTTAAGGATGTATATGGCTCCTATAGTAGATTAAACTCGCTCACTTATCCGACATCTTGGATTTTGAATCTACTATAAAGAGCAGAACATAGAACGGACGCACTCTTAAGATTAACGTAGCCGGACATATATTCACGGCCCGGCACCGTTCCTTATTTATTGATCCAAAAAGTAATCGTTGTGTTATTTTTTCGAGGTTCCCACGAAAATTAAAAACGTCATGTTAGAAAATGGCATGATATCACCGCTTTCGATGACTTTGAATGACATTACTGGGTTGTAATCTTCGAGAACGGCAAGTTTCACCGTATGTAATATACAGAACCGACTCAATATTTTAAGATTCAGGAAACAACACAGAGGAAAGAGCATATTTCAAGGTTCCTGAGACCTTTAAAAGGTGTTAAAACGCATTTGTGAAAAAAGTTGAAGGGGCACCAACGGGGTAACTTGAATTATAACTTGCAGGGATGGTATGGCGTAAAAATAATTATCGGGTATTCTGAACCCGTTGTCATCGTTCAACCGTTGTCCCCAATAATAATTAGATATTTGCTGTTTATGAGGCCATCACAGTGGCTTGTAAAGTTATATAAAGTCTAACATATTTCGAATGCAAAGGGGACTGACACATTTATTGTCGATTAAATTGCATAAATTTACATGCTTATGCTCTAAACTGCACTGATATTATTCTATAAATAATAAAAAAAGTTTTGTTTTACCTCTACAGCTGATATTGGATAAACAGTCAATAATAAAGAAAAATATATTGGTACCCTCCTCCAACCCCTTGTTTTCATGCTTGCCGCCTCTCAAGTAGATGACGTCACTGATATTTTGTGTTATTATCTCAGCAATATAAATGAGTTGAGTGAGTGTATTTCTCCACATGTAGGCCAAGGCATGATAGGACATATATATATATATATATATACATATATGTTAGTTATAAGTGCAAGGTATGGCAACGAAATGACATGCGCCCGAATTGTTCAAATATATGTCAATTATGTTTACGTCATCTACAGCGTTATGATTTTAATTTAGGTATATGAGTGTATTGTGTATTATCCGGCGTAGGAAGAGACCATACATTGATTAATACTACGATACTCTGGCTGTTATTTCGTATTCGTCTTCGCTATCCAACGGTTACGATCTGTTCACTCTTTGACTTTTACTCTGAAGAAGACTAAACAGCTCGTAACTCTCGGCTAGTAAATATGGTTGTTTATAAATTATACAATCTACAGGCTAGGATGTTCCAGACTGACTTAACACTGTAGACACTGATGTTTTTTTTTTTTATATCTGCACCCCATACCACAGAGAAAAAATGTTGACACCCTAGACACTTGAGAGTTAAATGTCGACACTCTAGACACTGGAGAGTTCAATGTCGACACCCTTGACACTGGTGGGTGTGAAGTCGACACCCTAGACACTTATTGTATAATGTCGACGCCCTAGACACTGGATGATGTAATGTCGACGCCCTGGACACTGGATGATGTAATGTCGAAACCCTAGACACTGGTTGATGTAATGTCGACACGTTAGACACTGGATGATGTAATGTTGACGCCCTGGACACTGGATGATGTAATGTCGACACCCTAGACACTGGATGGTATAATGTCGACACCCTAGACACTCAATGGTATAATGTCGACACCTTAGACACTGGATGATGTAATGTCGACAACCTAGACACTGGGTGATGTAATGTCGACACCCTAGACACTGAATGGTTTAATGTTGACACCATAGACACTGGATGGTATAATGTCAACACCCTTGACACTGGATGATGTAATGTCGACACCTTAGACACTGGATGATGTAATGTCGACGCCCTGGACACTGGATGATGTAATGTCGAAACCCTAGACACTGGATGATGTAATGTCGACACCGTAGACACTGGATGATGTAATGTCGAAACCCTAGACACTGGATGATGTAATGTCGACACGTTAGACACTGGATGGTATAATGTCGACACCCTAGACACTGAATGGTTTAATGTTGACACCATAGACACTGGATGGTATAATGTCGACAACCTAGACACTGGATGATGTAATGTCGACACCTTAGACACTGAATGGTTTAATGTTGACACCCTAGACACTTATTGTATAATGTCGACACCCTAGACACTGGATGGTATAATGTTGACACCCTAGACACTGAATGGTTTAATGTTGACACCATAGACACTGGATGGTATAATGTCGACAACCTAGACACTGGATGATGTAATGTCGACGCCCATAGACACTGGATGGTATAATGTCGACAACCTAGACACTGGATGATGTAATGTCGACACCATAAAACACTGAATGATGTAATGTCGACACGTTAGACACTGGATGATGTAATGTCGACAACCTAGACACTGGGTGATGTAATGTCGACTCCCCAGACACTGAATGGTATAATGTCGACACCCTAGACACTGAATGGTATAATGTCGACACCATAGCCACTATGTAATGTCGACAATAGACACGACACCCTAGACACTGGATGATGTAATGTCGACACCCTAGACACTGGATGATGTAATGTCGACACCGTAGACACTGGATGATGTAATGTCGACACCCTAGACACTGGATGATGTAATGTCGACACCCTAGACACTGGATGATGTAATGTCGAAACCCTAGACACTTATTGTATAATGTCGACACCCTAGACACTGAATGGTTTAATGTTGACACCATAGCTACTGGATGGTGTAATGTTGACGCCCTCGACACTAAATGATGTATTATCGACACCCTAGACACTGGATGATGTAATGTCGACACCCTAGACACTGGATGATGTAATGTCGACACGTTAGACACTGGATGATGTAATGTCGACACCCTAGACACTGACACCACCTAGACACTGGATGATGTAATGTCGACACCCTAGACACATATTGTATAATGTCGACACCCTAGACACTGGATGGTGTAATGTTCGACACCCTAGACACTGGATGATGTAATGTCGACACCCCTAGACACCCTAGACACTGGATGATGTATTATAGACACCCTAGACACTGGATGATTTAATATCGACACCCCAGATACTGGATGATGTAATGTCGACACATTAGACACTGGATGATGTAATGTCGACACCCTAGACACTGGATGATGTAATGTCGACACCGTAGACAATGTAATGTCGACACCTAGACACTGGATGATGTAATGTCACCCTAGACACTGGATGGTATAATGTCAACACCCTAGACACTGGATGATGTAATGTTGACGCCCTGGACACTGGATGATGTAATGTCGACACCCTAGACACTGGATGATGTAATGTGACACCCTAGACACTGGATGATATAATGTCGACACCCTAGACACTGAATGGTTTAATGTTGACACCATAGACACTGGATGATGTAACACTAGACACTGGATGGTATAAGACACCATAGACACTGGATGATGTAATGTCGACACCATAGACACTGTAATGACACCCTAGAATGTTGACACCATAGACACTGGATGATGTAATGTCGAAACCCTAGACACTGGTTGATGTAATGTCGACACGTTAGACACTGGATGATGTAATGTTGACGCCCTGGACACTGGATGATTTAATGTTGACACCATAGACACTGGATGATGTAATGACGACACCCTAGACATTTATTGTATAATGTCGACACCCTAGACACTGGATGATGTAATGTCGACACCCTAGACATTGGATTATTTAACGTTGACACCTTAGACACTGGATGATGTAATGACGACACCCTAGACACTTATTGTATAATGTCGACACCCTAGACACTGGATGGTATAATCTCGACACCCTAGACACTGAATGGTTTAATGTTGACACCATAGACACTGGATGGTATAATGTCAACACCCTAGACACTGGATGATGTAATGTCGACACGTTAGACACTGGATGATGTAATGTCGACAACCTAGACACTGGGTGATGTAATGTCGACACCCCAGACTCTGAATGGTATAATGTCGACACCATAGCTACTGGATGGTGTAATGTCGACGCCCTAGACACTGGATGATGTAATATCGACACCCTAGACACTGGATGATGTAATGTCGACACCCTAGACACCTATTGTATAATGTCGACACCCTAGACACTGGATGGTATAATCTCGACACCCTAGACACTGAATGGTTTAATGTTGACACCATAGACACTGGATGGTATAATCTCGACACCCTAGACACTGAATGGTTTAATGTTGAAACGTTAGACACTGGATGATGTAATGTCGACACGTTAGACACTGGATGATGTAATGTTGACGCCCTAGACACTGGATGGTGTAATGTCGACACCCTAGACACTGGATGGTATAATGTCAACACCATAGACACTGGATGGTATAATATCGACAACCTAGACACTGGATGGTATAATGTCGACAACCTAGACACTG